TTCATATATGTTATGATATATTCTGGATAATTTTGATCATCATGAAATGTACAAACAATTGTATATGGAATTTTTTCATCCGTTGTTGAATCTGCTTGAATAGATTTTCCATTTGATAAAGTAATTGTTGGTGGTACACGAATATCATTACTACCAGGTGTATGATGACCAACAAGTACACGACATAAAAATAGAAAAGATAAATCTTGACGATCACTATAATGACATGAATAACATGCATAACGACTAAAATAAACACCACGACCATAAAAAACATGATCACGGCAATATGAACGATTAAAACCATGCGATATTATATGATGATGATTGTCAGATTTTGTTCCATGAAAGAACCAATTTTCATTGAGATGTTTAAGTCCATTTTTTCGTCGCATATATGAACGATGTGAACAAAATTTTTCCCATAAATGAGCATTTTCTATACGTTCAATCTAAATTCAAGAAAAAAATCAAAATGACTTTCGTATTCTTAAGAGAGATAGTAGACTTCAAGCTTCCGACATAACATTCAATGGAAATATTGTTTCCTTTCATTCTATTTAAAAATAAGATCTAAGAAGATTTTAATGATTGATATACGTAGACAGAATCTATAGTCACGACGGGAATATATAGAAGTTCTACAAGTTTTAGTCTCTATGTCATAAATAAACTTTTATTTTTTCTCTAAGAGAAATATGTTGAAAAAACAAACAAAATACGTTCGTGTGTTATTATGCTTTGTTTAATGCGAAATGTAATAATTCTACATCTTCTAAAAGAGAAGAAGATGCCTGACACAAGACATTAATTTACTTTGACAAATGTTCATTTTAAAGTATCTAAAAACTTCTAATGCCAAAATCTATAATACCATCTAAATGATTGACAGTGAGAAACTTGATTTTTTGTACGTACGTAATACAAAGTTCGTATGAAAGTACACAATTGAAAAAAGTATAAAAAAAAATCATTATTTCCATTGAAAATATTTTCAGTATATATAAAAGTTCTGTTACATTGATTGTAATTAATTTTTCTCATTCTTTTTAGAATAATATCAAACGAATCCACTATTTCAATCATTCATGCCAAAAGTTGGCACCATATAATTATTTTTATTATTCAGTCTAATAGAGTGCAAAATTCTTTACAAAATTATGTGTTTTAAGGCTATCAAACATGTCAACACAAAATGAGTATAATTAATCTTTCGGAGAAATGCATAATACTTAATCTCCACTGTGAATTTAAGCTTAGGATAAAACTAATTCTTTCATCAACATAGAAAGAACTAATAGAACTGTGTTGAATTGATGTGTTTGATAGACTTGAAGCTTATCATTTTGTAAACAATTTAGTGCTCTATCAAACTCAATGACAAAGTTATTTATAGGTTCTCTCAAGTAGGCACGAATGATTCAAATTGCGAAACACATCATATTATTGGAAAAAAAATAAAAAAAAAAATTATCCGAGTCAAAGGAGAGACACATTTATATATCATGACAATATTTCAATTGTCGACTTTGATCCGTACTTTGCACTATATAATCTAAAAAAAAAATCCGATTTTTTTTAAGGAAATTCTATATGTGACTCAATAGATTTCGAAATTAGAACTTTTCAGATACTTTAGGATGAAGATTTATCAAAGTAAATTAATCCGTCGTGTCAAGCACATTGTGCTCTTTTAGAACGTATTTAGTAACAAATTTATTACATCTTATGTTAGACAAAGCATGATGACACATGAACACATTTTATTTGTTTTTAAACTCTTTTCTCTTAGGGAAAAAATAAAAGTTTATTTGTGACACACAGATTAAAGTCCATCGAGTCGTACTATATGCACCTGGTCAATATAAATCCAGATCTAAGTATATCAATCATACATTGAATATGATTGATCGAACTCTTTTCTTAAGATAATTAATTAAGCTTTAATTAAATCAAGAATATAGTAAATCAAATAATACGATTCTAATACAAGAGAAATTACTTATTCAAACACAATGATTCGTTTTTATTTCAAAATTTTAGAGAATATGCTTGCATACACACATCAAATTGAACCTTTTATAAGCTTCGTTTCTTTCATGAGATATTAAGTATTTCGCAGATGAAGAAAAAGTATCGAAGATAAACTAACAAATTTGATGTAATTTCATACATTTCAATAGTGGAATATATTCAAAAAGTCAAGTGTTCCTTGTTAATATTCTTCTGTTTTATTAGTTTTTTTTTTTTTTGTAATGTAAATTAAAATTAATACTTACTACTGCAATTTTAATATCTGTTTCAGAAACTGTTTTATAAAATAATCGTTGAACAAATAAAAATTCTGGTGAATTTGTATCAAGTGTAATTACTTGAAATAAAGCATCACTATTTTCATTAGTATGAACATTACCCGTCCAAAATGTAGGATATTTTTGACTATATACCATATCTAAAGACATGAAAAGAAAAAAAAAACATCCATTGTGTTTTGTTTTTTTTGTATGAAATATTCATCGTTTGACTTACTATTATCATATGGATATATAATTGGTAATGAATGATAAACTTGAAAAAGAAGAGGAAATGGTGTCAACGATCCATTTTTTCCTCCTAGTGGTCCATTAAAAGGAAGTGTTACATTTGGAGATGTATAAGTTGGTGATTGAAGTACAACAGATCTTGAATCAGATTTATTGTTTATATTCATAGTATAATCAATAAAACGAAGTTCTTCAGGTGAAATAATATGTTTAGCATATTGATCAACAGCTATTATTGAATTATACGGTGTTGTTGGAGTTAAAAAATAATGGACTTTAGGTAATACTTGAAAAAGTATGCCAACATTATTTTCATTGTTTGTATGAACAATTGTATAAGATGATATCGATAATTTAGTTAAGAATGATAAAAGACTAGTTAATTTTGATGAACGTGATCGTATATATGTATCAAATGATGATAAACATCTATGCATTTCATGTGTTATACTTGAGTTATATTGTTTCTAGAAATATAAATCTAAATTTTATGAATATATTGAACTTTTTTTCCTTTTAATGAAAACTTCATTAAATTCTTACTGCTGTTTGAGATGAATAAAAAATAAATCCTTCGATTATAATAATGAATATACGATAATTTAAATTAGTAGATAAATCATTAAATATTAATTGAAACATTTGTTGATTATGAAGACGAAATTGATCAATTTGATTATCTGTACAACCATTCACAACAGATGACTATTTATGTAAAATAAAATTTAGTAGAAAAATTATAGAAAAATATTTAAAATACTAACATAATATAGAGGATGTTCATCATCCAAGCGTACTATTGGTATCATAGATGAAGATGATAATGATGTTGATATGATAGAAACTAAAGAGAATTTTAAATCAATTATTATTCTAAGAGAATTCTCAATGGAGATAATAATATTCCTTATTTATTTTAGCATGAATGTCTCGAGACCACTGGAATTGAGCTTATATCCTTGGCACTCCCATTGCTCGGAACATTATTACTTTTTAGATGAAGTCAATGTTCATAGAAAATACATCACGAAATGTAATTGAATCATTCATTCTCTTTGATAGTAAACCTTGTTACAGAAAAAATATCGTAATGTAAATGAATTTTTATTTTTGAATAATGTTTCTCATTATCTGTATAATAAGTGTATCCGTTCTTAGAAAACTTCAAGAATACAAACAGCTAGGTAGACTAAGATATTCATTATTAAGAAGTAAAATGTCATATCATTAATGATATGAAAATCGATATACTAAATTATTCAAAAGTATCCTAATTTTGATTTTGAATTTTTCATAAAAAAAGCATGAATTTTTATAATATAAGTCTACATAACTGTAGATTTAACCTATGAACTAGAAATGTGCAGAGTTAGTCTATCCTGCAGGCAGGGGCATAGCCAGGAGTGCTTGTACACTCCCATGGCGAAAAACGATTGGGTGGAGCTATGGATAATAATCTTTTTTGAGAAACAAAGAAGTTATTTTCCTACTGGTGTGCACACACCTCCTTGGGAAATTTCTGGTTATATTTCTAATGGCTACAAATTAGGGTAAGTGTTAGAAAATTTTTCTCAGCCAACGTCCGAGATATAAAAAAAGTTGACTGTGCTTATGTCTACTATGAATGATATTTTTTGTATCTGATCGAATTTAACATGATGAAATTTTCGAAATACTATTCAGTTATTGAGAAAATACCTTCAGTGGGAAATATCGATTAATACTTTATATCTGATTTTGTTTTTCTAACGATAAAAACTCAAGATCATTATATTTCAAGAGTAGAGATAGTGAAGTTTTGTGAATCTCTATGAAACTATCATTTAGATATGTTTCTGATTTCAAAAAATAACTCATTCTGAGTTAAATAAAAAATAAAACAAACACGGTTTTCAAATATGTCTACTTACATTGGTCATTGTGCTGAATTGCTTTGTGAAGATCAACAATTGGTTGTATTAAATTATCTAACTTATGTAAATATCTTTGTTTTACTAACCAACGTCGTTCCTAAATAGAAAAAGATGAAATTTAATTTCGAATTTTATTAATTTATTTTCTGTTTTTTTTTGAATATAAAGAATAAAATCTACCTCAAATGAAACATGAATTGATTGAAGATCAAATGATGGATATTCCATACTAGTATCCATTCTATCAGTCATAATCTTAAAATAAAAATAAATTCAGTTACTTGTATCAAAAAAAAAACCAAAATTTTAGTCTTGAGTAATGTAGTTGTGAATATATGTAAGCACATATGACGTCATATTTCGTTCTGACAATACAGATTGGTGCATAATAACCAATAAGTCTTATTTTAAAAGCAAAATAGAGGATTTGTTAAGGTAACTGGAATAAAAATGGATTGAAAATAGATTCTTATTATTGAAATACAAATAAAAAGAATTCTTTATATTAATCAAGAAAAAAGAAAAATAATTATTTTCTTGTTTAATGGCAACAATAAAGATAAAATCTTTACCAAATATTCCCATTCCAGAAGTAAAAAAATAATGCAACAATACTATTATTTTTTTTTTCTTACTAAATAAATTTTTAATTCATTTATTTTATTAGAAATTACTAAAACCTAATCCATTTTTAAATGATAAAAAACCAGTGGAATCAAATCTACTATCATTTGTTAGTAGTGGACTTGAATTTGATGCTGATGTTGTACAAAAAATCTGTCCATCAACTATATCATTTACAAATTATAATGGTCGATCATTATATGTTCCAACTCGTGAAATAAGTAGTTCACCACGACCACCTCGTCGTTTACAACCACTTGTTCCACTGACAATATCCAAAGCAAGATGGGAACATGCACGTCGAGTTTTAGCACAAAAACCTATTGCAATCGAACCAGTAAAATTTCGACCACAACAATCACTTTTTTATATGACTGAAATTGATGATTACGATGAACATATTCAAGATTCTAAACAACAAATTATAGATGATCATTTAACACCCACAACACGATCAGAATCACCAGAGGAAACTAGTGAAAATACAGGTGGAATACGACGTGGTCAGGATAATATAGAACAACAAGCAAGAATTATAGCAGAAAAAGATTTTGCTCAAATGGAACGAAATTGGGATAAGTATATGTTTGAACATATGGATGAAAATACAGCTAAATTTATTATATTAAAACATGTTCATGATGGTAAGTAGATACTGTTTGAATGTAATTATTACTTTATCGCCATGACTTTAAATTTGCACGACTATAGACAATCGAATGAAAGAGATATTTACTTTCAAGAAAAATGCTGTAAAGATATAGCATCTTTACAGTATTCTTTTAAATGAATTCTGTAGTCCCCGGAGGAGTACTAGAAAAGTTGATTTTCGCATTTCAACTTGACAGTTTGTATAGAAACAGACCTTAGCGAGAATAGTTTATTTTAAATATTCTCGATCTTGTTGCTATTTCTATCCAAAGATATAACTATAATAATAGCTTTTTGTTGATATTGTTCATATAAACCGGCAGATTTGATGTTCATCATGCAAGACTGAAGCAAATTTGAAAGATCTAAAACTACCCTTGCTCAGATATGTTTCTACGCAAAGTTTCAAGTTGAAATTCGAAAGTCAATATTTCTATGATTACGAAATTCGTTTCAAAACCGTCATAGAAATCGCAGTAATAAGCTAAAGATCCGAATTATTTTCAGAGTATTCATAGATCATTTGAGTTTACATAACACAAGCAGTTTTAACTCAATATCGATTTGTCAACTGGAGGATTTCTTTTGTAAATAACTTTTTTGATACAGAAAAGAATAAATATCACATTTCGATATCGATCTGGAAAATATTATTTATTTTAAACTGGAACGTTGCTGATAATTTCATGAAAACTCTTATCTGCCTTAACATATATTCTGATACTAAAAATTTATTATTTAAGACTAGATCAAATTCTATGTGCTTAATTTTATTTATAGATGATCGTCGAGGTCGATTAATTGAATATTTAAAAAAAACATATCATATCACAAAATTACCAAATCCACAAGAAATGGAATTGGTAAAATGATCAAATGAATATGTATCTTGTTGTTTTAATCTACAGTAGTCTTTTTTTCTAGATTCCAACGACTGATGATGAAGAGAAAAAAGTCGAAGAATATGATTCGAACAAGTTAGAAGAAGCGATACTTATTAATATACTTACTAAACATCATTTTTCTATTTAGATTACAAAGTCAAATACCTGAAAAAGATGCTGATATACCTAAACGAGAAATTCCATTGTATCGTTTACCACGTGGTTTACGACGACGAGCAAAAGAAGAGAAAAAAGAAGATGGTAGGACTATTTGAAAAATATCTAAATTTTTAAAAATCAATATACGATCTTCAATTAGCAACAGCACATATTCGTCCATCTCAACAAATAGTTACAGGAAATACATTGATACGTCGTGAAACATCGTTTTATGATATAATGTCAAATAAAATATTAAGTACAGTCTATCGAACAGATCATCCATATGAACAAGCAATGCTTCTTGGTAAAAGAAATATTAGTTCATCTATAATTATAATAAAGTCAACAAAAATAAAATTCATTTAGGTAATAATATTCATAAACCAACAGATGAACCAGGTGTTATTGTTCTTTCGGATAAACTTCAATTTGATAAAGTTCTTCAAAAACAACTTCCACCTGATCCTGATTCAATAGCTACAAGTAAAAATCTTATTGTTAATATTACAATAATTAATTATTCATTTTAATTTAGCTCTTCAAATTGATTCATCAGCTGCATTTGATCGACAAAAACCAACACGAGGTTTTCGTCGTTGGAAAGCATTACCTGAAGTTAAAGATATGGTATTTTCATTATGAAAAATTGGCTTATTCCATTTGAATACCTTTTATATCCTTTTCTAGCACGAATTAAATGTGTCTTTACACGAAATCACATGTTTTTTTACACTAATTTTTAGAGTCCTCACCTGCAAATGCCCATGTCAGAACATGAAATCAATAGAGCAGCAGCAATTCAAGCTTTTTTTGCTCAGGTTTTTCTGCTATTTCATGTACTCTTAGTAGCTCTTCTTCTTTTGCTTGAACTAATTTTAATTTTAAAATTAAAGTTAAACATATAAAAAAAAAAAGAAATTCTTTATTCATATTTTTAGCATCCACCTCGATCACCTGATGTTAATGATTTATCATTATCATGGCTTATGCCATCAACATCAGATTCTCGATTACATCAAATATTAAAATCCAATACAACTATTAGTCGAATTATTGAAGGTAAATCATTTTAGAATATTTTATAGAAAAAAAAAAAAATTTGTTTTCTTGTTATTTTTAAGAATGGAGACGTAAGTGGCAAGTTGGATGTCAATGGCTTGATGCTGATGTTGAAGAACTCTATGAAGATTTACATGATATACATCCACATGTTTGTTTCTTACTATTTTTTTTTTGGTATGATTAATAAATATAATAGTTAAATTTTATTTTATTTAGGTTCGTTTTACTGCTATTGTTGTTTGTAGTCGAGCTGCTCAATATCTTACTCAAAAAGAAATAGGTACTAAATGCAATAAGGTTTAAATGCTATAAAAAAAAAAGAAAAACGTATTTTTATTATGTAGATCTGGGTTTAAAAGTTCATCTTCTTCCTGAAAAATTACTTCAATCAATTGAATCTTTACTTAATGATTCCAATGAACGTGTACGAACAGCTGCTGCTATTGCACTTGTTACATTACATCGGTTTTCTTCACAAGTATTATTTTTAACAAAAAAAAGTTTTTTTTTTAATTGAAATATTTTGATTCGCTTTTTCTTTTAGGTAGAAGTTATTCTTCGTTCATGTGTTGCTAATGGTAATCCTGATGATAAATTAACAGCTGCACAATGTTTAGCTAGTCTTAATTACTCAACATCAGATATAATACATGAATTATTAAAAAATTATTTTGATGCTGAAGATGAATTAACACGAGAACAACTTATTCTTGCGTTAGCTAGATTAAGTCAACGAACGGTAAATAAAAATAAAAATTCAATCAAAATATTTCTTTCTTTCTTTCTTATTATTTTCAATAGAATCTCGTATATAGTTTAGCCGGTGAATATTTAAATTCTGCTGATTCTACTGATCGAATTGTTGCTTGTAAACTATTTCCATTACTTAAATCTCGACCAAATAAAGTAAAAACAAATTAAAAAAAAAAATATTTTATTTTTTGTTTTAAATAAAATATTTTTTTTAATAGGATATAACACAAAAATTAATTCATCTTATGTGGCAAGATATGAATAGTAGTGTACGTCGTGTAGCTGGTCAAGCATTAGGTAAATGTGGTTGTGGTCAAGCAGTACATGAAGAAGTTGTTTTACGTTTACAAAGTCATCATTGGCAAGATCGTGTTGAAGCACTTAAACTTATTGGTTATCTTGGTTTGTTTATTGAAATATTTATTTAATATATTTTTCTTTTTGTTTTTTATCTATAAAAATATTTTTTCAGGTGTTTTAACAGCTAAATTAATGCAACCATATTTAAAATGTTTTAAAGATACTCATGTTAGTGTACGTGATCATGCTTGTCGTACAACATATAGATTACAATTACGTGATGAAACCATAAGAAATTTACTTATTGATCGTATTGAATTTGATCCAATTGAAAAAGTTCGATATTCAGCTGTTGAAGGTTAATTTATCTTTCAATTATATATATTTTGTTTTTTATTAATAATATATTTAGCACTTGGTTTATATGGAATGACAAATGCAAAATGTCGAAGTGTTCTTTTATGGGCTGTTCGATATGATAAAAGTCCATTAGTACGTGCAGCATCACCAAATGCTCTTGTTCTATTAGAAAAAGCAAGTGAAGATATTATTGATACATTACAAAGTCGACTTTTAATTGAAAAAGAACCTATTGTTGTTCAGTAAGATGAGAAAAGAAAATTTTTCCATCAAAAGAAATATCTTCTCTCTTATTAGATCATTAAAAGAAGCATTGGAAGCTTATCATTGTAATTTGAATCAAGATGTTCCTATTGTACAAGAAATTCGAAATGAAGTTCGAAAATTAAATACAAAAAATACAATATTAGAAAAAATAATGAATCTAGAAAAAGATCTACGTTTAGCAGCTGCTATGGAACGATTAATTGCACCATTATTGGATAAAGTAAGTTGATTTTGTTTAAATTAATTTTTTGTCTTTAGAAATAATTTTCATTTGAATATATATGACAAGAGAGTTTAAAATATTGTTGAGATTGAAATAGGATTTTTTCAATCCGGTACTAAAAGATATCATGATTGTATAAACAAAATATTTTGATTATTGTTATTATGACTTAATTGTATGTTGAAGTTTAATTGATAATACAGATGAGCATGAGTGTGAAGTGTGTACGCTTTAGTATTAATTTACTGTATAGAATATTAAAATTTGAATTTTTTCCTGTAACGTTTTTTACAAAAAAAAAAGAGTAAATCGCATCATATGTGTGTTTTATAATTATGATGTAAGAATATACTGAATGGTTGTGAGCTCTAAGAAAATTGACATTTGTTGTATAAATACTGAAATCAATAGTATATAATACATAGTCATTCTTGGTGAATTTTTGGATACTACATTAAAAGAAAAAAAATCCAGAGAAAATATTAAAACTTTCTGTTTATGATGGCTAATATAACTTTAGTTTGTAAACTCTGGTCTAAAGTAATTAGTTAATCTTCGTTATGAAACTTTACTCCTAGCAGTTTGTAAAAAAACGAGAATGATATATAAAGCAAGACCGCAAAATATTGTGATTTGTGTTTTTCTTCTGATGAGAAACTGAATTCATATAAATCCTATCTTAATTTTTATTTCATATCAAAAGTTTCGATTACCTTGAATGATCCTAAATAATTTGATACGTAAGAATATTCTATGGTCATATAGTCTATACGCACCTTGCTATGAAAATAATTGAAAAGCTTATCGTTTCTGTATGCAGGTGACTATTATTTAATTGAGAATAAACCTATATTGATTCTTTTTAGCCATCAACACCATCACCTGGTGAAAACGAAAATAAATCAACTACAACTGTTACAAATTATATTCAAAATGTGGCAAATACTAATGTTAGTGATAATGATGTGCCCGAAGTTTGGTCACCAGAGTTATGGCATACTGATAGTAAAACTGGTAAAATCAAAAAACATCGACTTCCACATGACCAGCCACCACCTCAGGAAGAACCAATCACAATTACAACAGAACCTGAACAATCAAGTTATAGTCTTCAACCAGGTGTCTTATTACCTGTTGAAGAGGAAGAAAGTGAAACTGAAGAAGACAGTCAAGCTACGTTTTCTTAAGTGTTTGTCAATAAAATTGTTTTTTTTTAATATTCTTGATAAAAGAGAAAAATCAAATGAGGGCGGAGATTAGTATTTTATTAATAAAATAAGACAACTCATAAGAATCAACTACTACAGTCCAGAAAGAAAAATATGATACTATCTCCATCTGTGATTGTTCTACTATTTGCCGTTTTCATCACCTATCCAACTAGTTGTAAAAGTTTGAAGTGCTATCAATGTTCGGGAAATAAATCTTGTGGATATGGAAGAACTAATCATGTCGTTGATTGTGCTGGAGAATGTATGACCTATCTAAATGAAGACAATAATGGTAAGGAAACAAAATAATTCAATTGTTTCAAAATGAAATCCATTATCAAAATATTTAAAAAGATATTATAGTGAGACGCTGTTGTTTGGATGATTGCAATAATAAAAAAAGTCACAAAGCATACGTGTGTTCGACAGATAGATGCAATGGTATTCATTCAGACCAGAAACTCTTAGGTAAAGGCATTCATCGGTTACATTATTAATAACAGAAGTAATTTCAGCTATTGAAAAAGACAAACCTTCCAAACGAGTTCAATTAAGAAATCGATCAGAAGGGAAAACGTCATCATTATATTGTTTTGATTGTACTGCACATAATCCAGATTGTGCTGTTCACCAGGCAACACTAGTTTCAGACTGTCAAGCATGTATGACTTATCTTAATGCAAACGATGGCAGTGAGTCAATTTATGTGAAAAAAAAACTCAAACAGAAATTTTCTCCTTTCAAATATTAAGATACTGTTGTTCGACGATGTTGTAAATCAGGTTGTGGATCACCAGGTACTAT